GCCGTCTCCCCCGGGGCAGCGAAACCGTCGCGCTCCCGGCGTCACATCCTGCCCCGCCCCGCCGCTGCCTGCCGGGAAGCGTCGTTTCCCCGCCCGGGGCGGGTGGCTGCGCTGGCGCGGAGCCTGCTGGGAACGGAGGAGGCCCGCCCCCACCCCCCCCCCCCGGCCAGTGCGGCGCGCGGCGGGGTGGCGTCCGCCATCTTGAACTGCGAACCGCTGCCGGTGCCGCGCTCCGGAGCGGAGCGGCGTGGGGCTTTCTCGCTTGGAGGGCGGCAGGGCGCCGTGCGACTCCGCTTCGATGGGTAAGAGCGCTAAGAGCCGGCGGGCAAGGGGCCGGAGGGGCCGCGGTCCCCTCCGGGGCACCCTCACTGTAAGGCTCCCCGGCGCAGGCCGGTCTCCTGCCTGCTCGGGGGCGGCCGGTAGCAGCGGGGCGTTGCCGAGCACGGCAGCTCGGTCCCCGCCGGGCGCGGCGGTCGGTGCTGGGACGGGGTCTTCTTGCGCTGTTCGCCGCCGCTTCCTCAAGTCGAGAGGGCTGCCGTCCTCCCTTCCCTGCCGTGCCCTGCAGGATGGAGGGAGCTTTTCCGCCCCCCTCGCCAAGGGACGCGGGTGAGGGGCTTCGCTAGCCGCCCCCTGCGGCCGGGGCGGGTGTCCTCTCGGCCGAGCAGCCGGCGAGGGTCTGACCCGGCCCTGCGCCGGGGTCTTGGCCGGTGCGAAGCCTGCGGGCAGCGTCCGGCCTCCCCCCGCGCTGCCGGTCGGGGAGGGGGCGGTGGTACAGCAAGGCGCCGTATTTAGGGAGCCTGCTGTAGGCAGGGAGGGGAAAAAAAAAACCTACAAAAAAAATTATTGGTAGGCTAGGTCTTAGCCTAGGCACAACAAGTGGGCGAGATGCAGGATGTGGAGGGATTTAGTGTGAAAACGAGCGTGGTTTTGCAGAGCAGAAGCGCGAGCTTCCTTGGATCTAGATGCAGAAGTCGTGAAGCCTGAATAGATCAGGGACTGCTAGTCTTTTTGCCCTCATGATGTCTATACCAAAACTCTTGTGCGGGGAATGAAGCTATAAATTCATAAGCTTTTCTTTTTGAAAACAGTCTTGATGAGAGCTTCCTCCCAGTTGAGCTTCTGTAACGCTATAGAGCCAGTGACCTAAACTGGGTTACTTTGCATGCACGCTTCTCTTGTTTGATTCGTTGCTTGGCCTGACAGTTTATTGGTGCAGCTAAATTAGCAAGGCATGAATGATTAAGGAAATGGTGATGTTCTAGGACTAGTTAACCCAGTAGTGTTGTTGGAAAAATGATGTTCTTAAATTGTGCCTCAAAAGTTAACATGACAATTACTAGAAAATTGCCTTAGATGGTGGCACGCTTAGCATTGCAGTCCAGAGATGGCAGTAGTTTACTAATGTTCTTGTGAAGCAAATGCATTTGGGTGAAACAGGCTGCTGAGTCCTTGGAGTGTCTTGTTGATGTCAGCCTAAGTCTGCAGACTGTTTTCCTCTCATAGTTTGTGTTTATTGCTCAGCAGTCCTTGGTACTACTGATATTAAAATAAATAAATAAATAGTCCCATCATGGAGGTTGAGAGAGAACTGTGCACAGCTCAAGAGCTGTAGTTCAGTTGTTTTCTTGTTGTGGAAGAATTCCAGACAAGTGAGAGTTGGTGTAGAGTCTTAAATCATATTTTTGACAGTTATTTCTCAGATGAAGGCTACGGTTTTAGCTTTCAAACCTAGTACCATGCTATGAACAACCTTTCCAATCAGTCAGTTTGATCATTTCAGTGACAGAATTATGTTTTATCACTTTTATCTTTTCACAACTGATATGCCTGAAATGACAGTCAAATTATAATCCCCTAATCCATCAAAAGAGCTATTAATTAGAATGAGTCAATCATTTTGTTAGTTTAAAATGGAAAAGAGTATGCCTGTCTGGATGCTACTGACCCTTAATTTGTTTTTCTGCATGCAGTTTAGAAGGAAACACAGAATAATCTTTAGGTCCTGTGTTATGTTTGCAAGATAGGCATCTTAAAAAAAAAAAAAAAAGAACACCCCCCCCAAAAAAAAAACCCCAACAACAACAAAAGAAACAATGCAGCAAGATTTTAAATGAAGCAGTAATTACTGCAGGTTTTGTTCTTGGATTTGTCCTTACTTTTTAATACATTTAATGTCTCTTTTATGAGAGGAGAAAGCAAATTCCTTTACTTGCTGACAGAATCAAAATTTAGCAATGTAATTTTTTTGCTTTTTGTTTCTCAGTTTGTTCATAAGACCCATAATTTCTTTTTGCAGTAGCTTATGCCCTTTAATGAAGTATCTGATCCTCAAGATGAGCTGTAGTTTAATCTGCAGTTCAGAAATGCCTATCTAGGCAAAGGTTTTTCTCTGATTTCTACCTTAGAGATTTTTGTTGATGAACTGGGTATTGCAAGCAACTACAGGAACAGATGTAGATACTGCTGCTGTAGATACTTTTGTAGTGCAAGAGATGGCAGGTTTGCCTTGCAAGGTTTGGCCTTTTGCACTAATTTTTCTTTTTTAATAGACAACATGGCAAGCCCAGGTAAAGATAACTTCCGAATGAAAAGCTACAAGAATAATGCACTGAATCCCCAAGAAATGCGCAGGCGAAGAGAGGAGGAAGGAATCCAGCTTCGGAAACAGAAAAGGGAAGAACAGGTAAGTATCTTGGTGAGCTGTTAACTGTTAAGTGCTTGTGAAGCTAAATTCAGATATGTGAAAGGACTTGAGCAGTCTCCTCCTGTGGAGCAGAATCCAGAGTGCCAGGCTGAATGGCTGGGTTTTGTGCAATCTTGGGGAGCACCAGGTGGCTCTTGATAGGATCAAAGAAGTGAACAGATCCCTCTTGAGTCAGTAGGGCACACAGAGGAGAGACCCACATCTTAAGTTTAATCCTTAGTCTAGGTTTAAACATGTAAGACTGGGCTGAAAGGTTAGTCTTATTTCTAGTAAGGATTAGAAACCTTGCATTCTCTTCCAGAGTTTGGGCCAAAATTGTACTGTTAGAAGGGAGAGGGTTATTTTCATCTTTGAAGCCATACTTCAAATTGCCCAAATAGCTTTTCTACAGTAACTTAGTAAAGTAGCTACTGATTAGTGATCCCTGAACATTACATATAACATTTGCAGTTGTCCTCGCTGAATTTTTAGTGATTGGAGTACATGGAGCATTGTATAATTTAATGGTTTGTGGCAGTTCCTTTTCCCAAAATGTTTAGTAGTTTCTTGCCGGGAAAGTAAGGAATGTAGTTTGTTTTTCTGCTTGGTCTAAAGTGGCTGAATTTGTCTCCCACAACCTAGAGAGTGTCCCAGGCACTGATCTACAGTCTTCTCTGAGGTGGGAATGCTTACTCTTCTCCTGGGAAAGTGGTGCTACTGCATGGAAAAAGAATTTAAATTAGTTGGGCCAGAGAGGTAAGAGTAAGAAGTAGTGTGATACTGGAGCATTTACCTGTGAATGGGTAACTGCACTGCAGTTCCTGCTGAAAGTTTTGTTTGTGTATTTTCTAGTAGATAGTCCCAAGATAAATTATGAAAATAATGGGTGTTTCCTCTCCCATGCTGACTGTTGTAACAATGAGAATACTCTTATGTTCTCCTTGATCTTAATCTGGTGGACAGGTGTTTTTCAGCTCTTCTTGAACTGCGGAGAACAAGTTTACGCAGGGAGATGAGACTGCTTTTGCTCCAGAAAAAATTATAACTGGTAGATAGGCCATGATCCTAAACAAAAAGAGTTTATACATTTCAACCAAGAGTGTCTGTCCTCGTTAAGTGCTGGAAAGAATGGCTGGTCTTCCAAAAGAAGAATGTAGTTTCTTCCTTTGTGGGTTTAAATGCAATTAAACCTTGTTTATGTCAAGGATTCTGCAGTTGTTTTGTGTCCAGGATTGTGCCCAATCCAGAAGTGTGTTGAACATTGAGAGAATGCCTTGGTTTAGGTTCCTGTTTGAAATATGAGTAGATGTAAAACATGGAGTTGCTTCTGCAGTTTTGGGCATGTACAATAGCAGAAATCTAGGTGTCTATAGACACCTAGAGGACAAAACCATCAGGATTTAGTAGGAGGTTTCATTATTATGCTTACAGGTATCATCTTAGTCAGCAGACCGAGATTCTAACATTTATTTTTAAAAATGCCAACATAATATTCTTAGAATTGTTAATTACAGTAGTTCTAAGTGTAGTACTGGATTAAAGATAAAAATTTAGGTTTGGTTTCTAGAAGAAAACAGGCTGATGCGAACGATCTGCTTGTATGCCAGAAAATGAAGAGGCACTCATTAAACATTATTAAATACTACAGTGCAGGTATGTATTTTGAGCATCGGCAGTGCATGCAGCCAATTGTAAAGTGATTTTTGGACATAGAGAATGTTTAATGTTACATAATTTGGAAGTTCACCTTGAAGCTATGCTATTTTTTTCTCCGACTATATTAAAATAATGTTAATGTTTTAATCTTTCTGCAACTGTATAAGAAATATAGGTGCTGTTTAATTGTTATGCAAAGACAGTACATAGATCTTAGACCTTCTGTTGAAGGAAGGAATGCAGAGTGCTGAAACACAAGCTTTGGCTCTGTGTTGATGATTTTAGCTTATAAACTAAAAAAGGAGGAAGTAGCTTGTAGAATACTGTTTCCTGCTTAAAAATAAATGCTAATTATGAGGTATAAAAGACTAAAAGTAGAGAGATCTGTGTGGAAAAATTTATGGATCTTTGCTAATTAAAAAGAAAATCAGTTTTTAAGTGTCTCTCTGAAGTGTTGCAGTGCAGTTTATCAAAGTACAGGTATAGTAGTGTTTTTCTTCTTTATGTTCTTTAAACTTTCATGTAGAATTCCATTTGCATGGATGACTAGGAAAGTGAATAGTTGAAATATTTTGACTGGTG